CACGACAATAAAAACTGTCCTGACATTTGTTTTATAGATATGTTAGTACTACAATATTGATTTTTGGCCTATACAACCCTTTGTAAACAATTTGGTCATGTCTGGATTTAAAAGGGTACACGCATCTTTTTCCCAACAGGATTGATTTCATATAATTTGTTGTTTTGACATTCTTTCCATTTCTCTTATATATACTGGCAGATCAAGGGTTAGAGGTTCCAAATGTGGGATTTGGCATTCATTGAAACAATAGCTTTTTTTCTCTTTTCTGTTTTCTTCTCCAATTTGTGACGTCACAACCAGTATGAAACCACCCAACTGTCCGCACCCCAATTTAAATTCAAAGGAAAGATGCACATGACACTGGTTTTAGTGGAATCTGATGCATCACCACAAACCGAAGGAAACAAGGGACTGTAATGCTCAGTTTGGTTTATCTGCCTATTCATGACTCGTGCTCCACTGACACCACGGAATAACCCTACTGTATGTTACCTGAGCCCACCTTTACCAGGAAATTCACTTCTGCTGTTTCAGTTCCTATGAGAGGTATGGTGCACACTGTGGTGAACACTGCCCTCTGCTGGTTAACTGTCTATGAGTTATGAGCGCATGCAAGTGTAGAAAGATGTGAAAGAATGAAGTAATACAAAACCATCAATGCAGCGGAAATTCCTGTTTAACCTATCTGTGAAATGTCATTAAAGAGATACTATGGAAGCCCATTTCCGCAAGAGATGGAAAAAACATGCTTTAGTAAATCATAATTATGACAGTCAGAATGACAAATGTTGGAGTTATGAGATACTAAACTGAGAAAAAAAAAAAAAAAAAAAAAAACACGAAAAAAAGAAAACCCATTAAAAAATAGAAATTAAATGGAAAATATTGTACAAAATAGAGTGTTTTTGATTGAAATTGTCAATGTCTAGCAGTGTATTGCTTTTTTTTTTGGATTTAGTAATATTAAAGGAAAAAAAACTTTGAAGTAATCAAACTGAATCTTGATGAAAGATGTTGCTCAAATCATTTATTCAGGTCTGTAACGGCTGCAAAAACACAAACATTGTCAGAAGAGGAACCAAGTGTTGTAATATCAGGATCAAATTTGTGTCTTAATCACAAGTCTTGAAATCAGCTTGCAGTTTTTTTTTTAAACGGAAGAATAGTATGTTTAGTTGCCACACTCTTTTTAAACTGTAAAAAAGAAATTGCATATATATATA